TGTATATAAAGTTTATTTTTTATATTTGAAACAGAAATATATATAAAATTGAATTAAATGCACACAAATTTATATAAATTAGAAATTTTTATTTGGAAATTAGATGTTTTAATAATAATTTAAAATACTTATTGATAATTATTACATTGTAGATGGGATAGATGGAAAGCAGGCGAGACGTACACAAACCTCTGGTCCATTAGGAGAATTATTCGATCACGGCTTAGACAGTTGGACTGCTATGTTGATCACTGTGTGTATGTACTCAGTTTTCGGCAGAACGGATCACAGTGTTTCGCCGTTACGAATGTACTTTATACTATGGAATGTATTTATTAATTTCTATCTGAGTCATTGGGAGAAATATAACACTGGTGTGCTATTTCTTCCTTGGGGATATGATGCTTCCATGCTAGTAAGTTTACTTAAACCATAATTCATATGTGTGTGTGTATATATATCTTAGATTTCTTTTAAATTATAATGAATATAGACAATTACATATAAAAAAAAATATATGTATCAGCAGGGATGATGTTTGAAATGCTGTTTTACGTTAGTGCGCTTGTGTCCAACTTGCCAGTTGTTCTTTGGAACATATATAAGTGAGTATGCATCTTATTGTTATAGCAAGTTTTGTTGTAAAATTATTAAATCCATGTGAAAAAATTTGTCGGATAAAGTTCAAGATAGAATTATGTAGTTTTTGTACAAGTTTTTATCAGAATATTTATTAGTAAAGTCTGTACATAAATAATAATAAATATTAATAATTATAAATTTCTAATTTTTTAAATTCTTATGTAATTATAAGTAATCTTTATATATTACAATCTACCATGTTGACTTTGATATTCTTTATCCATCTAGAGCGAACATCTCTCTAATGTATTTTCTAAATAAAAATATTTGTAATGACATTTTTTTATATATTCTTACCACAGAATACACAAACATATATACATATATATGAAATATATATATATACACACACACACACACACACAACTATGTATTCTAAAGTACATATACTATGAAAACATATAATTATCGGGTTGATGTGTTATTTTCTATATATATAGAAAATAACACATCAATCCGATAATTATATGTTTTCATTTATATTTAGAATCTATAGTTGTGTTGTATTAATCTTATCTTTTGTAATTACATGCTATATATGTTACTGATACAATCTACATTACTTGTTATTTTGACGTGTACAATTTTTTTTTGTAGGTCATATAGAGATAAGAGCGGCAAAATGCGAACGTTTCCAGAGGCCATAAGGCCGTTGGTGCCTTTAATTTTGCTCTTTGCAATTTCCACAATCTGGATAATGCATTCTCCAAGTAACATTCTAGAAAAGGATCCAAGAATAATATATTTTGCTATTGGGACTATTTTCTCCAACATATGTGTAAGATTCTGTATATACGCGTGTAGTCTAAAAAACCTGATTCTGTCGATGTTATTAATTTAAATAATTCACTGTTGCAGTGTCGATTAATCGTATCACAGATGAGTAATACTAGATGTGAAGTATTACCATGGATACTGTTGCCAGTCGCAGTAGCCGCTACTTTCTCGTTTATGTTACCTAGCATAGATTTGGAATCTATGTATTTAGTCTCCATAATAGCACTGTTGGCACACATTCATTATGGTGCTTGTGTGGTAAGTTTAATGAAATATAACTATATTCTTTCTTAATCATAATTTATAATTATTATATTCTTATATGTCTAATTACATAACTTATATACTTTTTTATATATTCACACAAAGCAATTTATTTACATCATATCATCGATTTTGCAATTGCAGGTGCGTCAAATGTGTCGTCACTTTCGTATTCAGACGTTCTCCATAAAAAATCATTCCGAATGACTACTTGCCGACGATATATGTTAAAAACGAAGGAAATACGAGGTAAAAGAAAAAAAAAGTTGTTAAAACCGGCGCAGAGAAGCAAACAGGGAGAAGAGATCTGACACACATAAACATACAAACTTGTTATTAGATTTAATCACTAGGAATGAAGTTAATTATCATGACAAAACACTTATTGAAAGAACAAGGAATTCCTAGAATCACATCCTTCACGCGAGATATGATTATATAAAAATGCTACTTGCAGAGATTGTGATAGCTTTATTTTGCTTCACATATCTAACATAATCGTATCTGCTGAATTGTCTGTTTATTTCTATGCCAAAAACAAAATTCTCCGAATCCGTTCTATATTATCTTACTGTGATATATTTAATTATCCGCGCATCACTTCTTTACTTTTGAAAGGTGGTTTGTTCATAAACATTCCCCCTCATATATTCCGCTTAAAGCACTGGTTTTATACATGTATGTGTGTACAAATACTTTTTCTTTGAATGCTGCTAACTTCATCAAGCGTTAAACTGTAAAAATATACATTTCTTCGTTTTTGACACATATCGTCCCTCGGATGTTAATCAATTTACTAATAATGTAATATCTATTGTTTTCTCCTTCTCTTTTCTGTAATTTTCTTGTTTCTTTCTTTCTAAATGCTGTATAAATTATCATCGGCTATTCATATATGTTTCAATAATAGAATAATGCATGTTATAGTAATATACAAGTCATATTTAGTACAAGTTAATATATATGATAAAGGATCGAGTGTATTATTGTTTATATTAGAGTGTAAATTTGTGTTAAGATTTGTACGACTATAATTATTACATCATATGATTTCCATATGAAATTGCAATGCAAAATTCTGACATAGTCAAATGTAATTTCAATAACAAAAATTGTTTTGCCCTTTTTTACTTTAAAACGAAAATTTTTGTTTACAATTGTGTAGATACATTAAAGTAATATATTTTCAAAAAAGACGTATGTGTGAAATAAAATACATTAAAATATATACTGGAAGAAATTTAAGCTAGTAAGACATTTATTTGACAAATATTAATTTTTTTTTTTTTGATGATTTTAATATGTTTACAAGAGCTTACACAACTTTATTGGAGACTATATACAATATATTACAGTGTAATATTGCAAGACGTATTGAAAACACATAAGAAATAAAAGATATTTTTACAAAGTAAAATGGTACATACATTTATTGCTATCTAGAGTCTAGAAAATCAGCCTTTATCTTTTTGCGCTCTTCCAGAGATGGCATATATGGCCTGATACCTTTCGATTTGCGTTCGGACTGCACAGTAGCCTAAACAGGAAAAATATTTTCAGCTATTTTACAGAGAAAGAGATACATATTACATCAGAGAAGAGAACTTACCCAAAATTCTTTACAATTTTTGTAATTGACGAAGTATACTTCGCACGCCTGACGTTCTTCCTGATTAGAATCAAGGCATTTTAAAGATAAAAGGTGTTCCTTAAAAAATATAGACAAATTACAGCTGTATAAGTTCTGTTCTTTTAATTGCATTTTCTATACTCTTTTCTTATCTCTCCAAAAGAGCATAAACGAAAAAATGATTTACTTCCAGTAAATCATAATAGTATCAAAAATTATGAACTATTTGAATACCTTGTAACAAGGATTGTACATTTCTTGGTTACGTTGCATCGCATGTTTTTTTACAGGACCTGCTTGTTCCATAACGTTGTCCGAATCTTTCTGTTTACTCATTTTGCCGATGAGATTATCATATTAATCATATACATATAATCTTTCATATATATGTATAATATATTCGACATTTAAAGAGAATTAGAGAAAGAGAAAGAAAGGAGAAGGGAAAATCACAAGTGCTAAAGAAAAACAGATCGATTTCCAAGCAACGTGTACTTGCGATTTTCGTCTCATTGAAAATAAACCTTGGGCTGCCTTCGGAAACATCACCCGTGTGCACACGTGTCGTTCTATCTTTGTTTAACTTTTCGTACATAACAAAGATAGAACGACACTCGTGTGAACATGGGTGATGTTTCCGAACGCAGCCTAGAAGCATGTGAAATCTGCGAAATTTTGAAAGAGGATTTATATTGATTTATATATTTTATCATTTTGATAATAATAATAGAAAGAAAGGGAGAATAACAAAGGTAAAAAGCTTTTTTCCGAAATTGCTCGAAATGGAGGTTAGCACGGGTGATGTGGTGATGCCGGGTGATAGCTTGAAAGATATCAAGTCGATCAAAAAGGAAGGCAAAAACGAGAAGGAGAACGTGATCCTAGGACCCGGACTGCGCCGCGAAGGCGACAAAGTATACATCTGCAAAGCAGGTATCCTGAAGAAACGTGAACCGGCCGTGTACTACGTGGACAGTTATCAGAAACGGTATAGAAACAGCATCATTGCGTTCTACATTTTATATGTTCGATTCCAATATTATTTCCCCATTATGTCTCGTTACGTGTAAACCAGAAAAAGAAAACATTTTAATTCATTGTTAAAGACACCCTGTAATCGTACAATTAATTTGTCTTCATCAAATACTCTTGATGCATAGGTACATTCCCAATCGAGGTGAGAATGTGGTTGGTATAGTTACGCAGAAAAGCGGCGATATTTACAAGGTGGATGTGGGTGGGAGTGAACAGGCGACGCTCTCTTACCTGGCCTTCGAGGGCGCGACGAAAAAGAACCGGCCCGACCTGCAGGTCGGCGACGTGGTGTACGCAAAGATGCTGCTCGCTAGCAAGGATATGGAGCCTGAATTGGTATGTGTGGATTCTCAGGGCAAGGAGAACGAACTCGGTGTACTCAGCTCAGAAGGCATGGTGTTCACTTGCTCGCTAAGCCTCGTGAGGAAATTGCTCAATCCCGAGTGTCCGTTGTTCAGGATACTTGGTCGGAATCAGGCATATGAACTCGCCGCTGGAATGAATGGCAGGATATGGATTAAGGCACGATCGGTTCGAGAGACAATAGCTGCGGCGAATGCTATTCTGGCTGCAGAGTACACGCTACCTGGTGAAATGCAAAAACTTTGTGCTAGAATCGAGAAAACGTTGCTTCTGGTAGCATAATTTTAGCTCAACGGAACTAGACTTTTAAGTGTTGCGATAAGAAATGATTATCCATAAAAGTGAAATAATATATTAGACTCACAAAGAAGTTTTGATAATTTTCAAATAAAAAATATAAAAAAATAATGAGATTAAAATTCTTTCAATTTTTTAAAAAATTTTTAAACATGTTTTGAAGCCGATTCTATTTAATGTGCAGAGAATAATGATCACTCTCTATTATCAATGATGATTATATTTATTGTATCAATATCTGTAATGAATTTTGTAAATAAATCTGGAAGTTTTCTTATAATCGATATTTTATATAAGACTATATTGTAGCATGACAACCACTGTGACAACCATCCTGTGATAGTGTATTAAAACTATAGGTACAATTATCACTAAACAGTATCATTGTACGGATGCACATCGACGGAAATGACGAATGTAAGGTGTTAGCGCAAAATGATATAATTGATAATCGCATTTGACAGTTAAGAGTAGGAGTAAAAAAACTTCACAGAAAATTCAACATTTAATTTGGCTCTAACAAAAAGGAACGACAATTTTCGATGACATTCGAACGTTACGCTAGTAATCGCAAACTGTATCAATATATAAAGTACAGAGCGCTTATGATAATTTTCATTATAATTTTTCGCTGATATGTGCCTAAATGTAATAACGCTTTCATTGGTTTGCTCGAGAGAGCTGATTATATATGCATAGTCTAGACAATGATTTGCACTCAAACACAACCTTTACTCTCTCTTTCACTGGAAAACGATATTCAAAATGTTTAATTCAAATACGTTTTCGCTTAATCAAAATTACACAAAAGATGTCTTTGTACTTGGTGGAATGTATTCATTGCCATCACTTTCTAATTAAGCATATATGTGAGAAAATCATTGGCAAAACAATTTAAAAAATTTTCAGAAATCTCTTTTACTGTGTTAATAAAAAGGTAATAGAATAACACACAAAATTATTATCTTTTTTGCTCTTTAAATAAATAAATATATACATATAGCATATTTTATAAAAGGCGTTTATATATCCAATGATTTTCTATTCCTTGTCATTGCACAGCAAATATTTTAGCGCCAATAAATAACAACTTATTGTGAAATACTTAGACATATTACTGTTAACTGATTGACTATTAAATAATATAACAGAAAAAGAAAACAAAAGAGAAACAATAATAATATGATACATATCGAGTATACATAACGCAATAAAGCATATATGCAACAAAGAAGTTAAAAGATCTAGCAAACAAAACAACAGTATCGATAACAACAGAAATATTCTTATTAAAGCTAAACTATTCTTTTTGGTCGCATTTATGGCCCCTACTTCCGTCTCGCACACAGCGCTGTTTTAAAATAAAATATTATCTAAATGCTTAAAATAATTTACATTGTGACATGTTCAGGGTCGGATTTTCCTTCATACATTCGTAGATCCAAATAATCTAAAATCTTTGCAAAGAAAGCGAAACAAAAAAGGATTTCTTTAGAAAATAAGGAAAACTATGAAACACACAGAAGAAAGAATAAAATTATATATATATCTGACATTATAATCTCTTTAAATAGGCAGAGAAGTTATAATATTATAAAATTTTTATAAATTAATTATTATAATTAATTAAAATTATAATTAAGATTTGTGACATTATAATAATTGTTATTAGAATTAATTAGAATTATACAAGTATAATTATAATTTTTTTGTTTTCTACATCCGTGTGTTCAATGAAATCCCGATCCTGGGTACGATTTATTACACACTAATTATATAACAAATCACCAATAATAAAGTCAAATTGCAAGAGTTTTGCGATGTTATATGCCGTAATACATTTTTTTTCTTCACCGTTACTCTCGGTATCTGAGATTTTAATAAATGAATTATCATGCCAGAGATATAAAATGTAACAAATGTAATCTTCACAAAAAGAAAAGCAAAAAGATTTACGAAAAAAAGAAAAACATTAGGGATATCAGAAACATTAATATTTATATTACGAAACTATCCGTATATTCTGTATATTATGGAAGAAGCCCTAGCGTTTCTTTTTTCTTTCTTTCTTGTAAAAACCACACACGTATGTTCATCGCACATCGGGATGTAATTAGGCAGGCAAATATGTATGTTTGGGGACGATACATGGTGGCATTACTAGCAACCATAAACACACTATTCTATGGCATTGTGCTTAATATATATGTGTATATATATACGTTTCGTCAAGGAGTGCGCTAATAATCGAGGTATATCGAGGGGATAATTATGTAAGTTATATCTAACGATAGTGATAACGATTGTAAGTTTTGTGCACGTACATTTATCGCAGTGGTACTGATATATAAAAGCGGTATAACATTAGTACGCAGGCGAACAATCGGAAAGGAAAGGCGAGAAGAATTCTTCCTGGATGAAGATGAAAACTGCGATGATTCGATAGACTTGCAATAATCGAGGAAAAAGGGAGAGAAATTTAAGGTAAAGCATCGATAAAATGTTTTACAGAGAGCGAATAGAAATGGATTTAAAAAATGAAAATCCCAAAACAATATTTTTCGTTTTAAGATTAGAGAAATAATAATTAATTACAATATTAAATAAAATATTTAAATTAAATTAACAAATTTCTTAATTTGTTTCAAAAAAATGTTCCCCTCAATGTTTTACCTTAAAGAACTGTCAAAATATTTGCATCTATAGATTACTACAACAGCCTATAGATTATTATTGTTTATGATATGAATGTAAAATATCTGCCATTATTACTGTAGGTACACGTTTACACTCGTAATTATGTAATCTCGTAATCACATCAACTCTAAATTTTATTGTTCAAATATTTTCTATATCGTATGATTTCTACTTCACGCACTTTTGCTCACGTTATCACGTACATTTATTTAATAAGCGTGATTTTCTCTTACAATCCCTTAATCGTAGAAAGGAATAGAAAATATATTTCCTATATATAAATATATATATGGCGGTATATAAAGCGTTGATTGGTATATTTCAATTCTTCCCTTTCGCCTTCAAAATGTATTATATTTCTCACTTATTATTATGATAAGACTTTAGCGCGCGAATGCGCTTCTCTCGTCTGCTGCTAAAAATAATTTTCATATACGAGCGTTTTATATTCGTGTAGATATGCTGTTTGCCCTCCACACAGTACAATGGCAGAAATTCTATGACGCACAATGTTTTTTAAAGTTTGTTATCTTGAAAAATCCTTATACCAGTTTAGTATGTAATAATTATAAGAATAATTTGTGTGTGTGTTGGATTATACTATTGCACAAAAGACTATCTCGTCTTTAAAAAGCAAAACAGTTTTTTTTAGTAGTTTTGCTATAGGCATTCGGTATATTTATCTATATCATTATCTTTGATAAAAAGTAAGGAATTACGTGCGTAAAATTTTTAATATCCGAAAGTCTAAAGAGTCGCATTAAATGAGGAATCTGACGATGCTTTGCATGTTAAATTAAATTGATAATAATCACATTGAATTATAAAAAATTATAATGCTTTATATATAAAAGATGATTAATATTCATTAATCATAATCATTATCATACATATTCTGTGTCACATTCATAAATATCTAAATCTATCATTAATGCGTAAAAAAATTACATTATAATAAAATTTTGATTTAATTCGTTACACATATATTGTTTTTATATTAAGCAATTGTAGTTTTATGGCGTTTTAGGCAAAAGTAATACGACTCTTCCGACATATAAAAAAAGGAATGCGCTACATAAGTAACTTTCTGTGAGCGAGATTTGTCAATTAGCAAAGCGATGACATGGTATCGCGGCATAGAATCATCGTCTATCTCTTGATATATAGATAAATATTATCATCAGATTTCAGCATAATCGTAATGTATATAAAAAATTGTCTTTTCTTATGCCTAAAGTTGCATGTGATGCTTCGATTATATAAATATATTATATATGTATATATATACGTAATTTTCACATATTATTATTATATACTTATTATT